CGGCCCCGGGGCCCCGAGTGCGGGGGGCGGGTTCCGCACATGGCCCTCCTCCTCCTCCTCCTCCTCCTCCTCCTCCTCCTCCTCCTCCTCCTCCTCCTCCTCCTCCTCCTCCTCCTCCTCCTCCTCCTCCTCCTCCCCCCGCGCGGCGGGCCCCCTTCTCCCTGCCCCTTGCGTGGACGCAGCGCGCCGCAGCGCGCCGCGCCATGAGTGTTCGGCCGCCCTGGGCTGAGCCGTCGCGCCGCCGACAACAGTCGGAGGATCTCGCCGCATCGCCGATGCGTCGCCGATGCGGCTCGATGTGGAGCCCTGTTTTCTCCACGCCTGCGTCGTGGATGCATCGCCGACGTCTCCGATGCATTGGCGGTGCGTCGGCAATGCATCGTCGATGCGGCGCGATCCTCCGAACCCCCCATCTGGGAGGCCTCTCACTCTGAGAGAAACACGGCGGGTTGTCCAGCGCAGATCTGAGAAATTTGTGAGGGGCTCCACCAGTTTGTGTTTGTGCAGTTCCTTCTTCAAGAGGCAGGCCAAACCTGAGCTCTGAGGCCGCCCCTTTCTCTCTCGTACTAGTCGGTGCTCCAGCATGGGACATTTTTTGAGAGGGCCGAGGAGGGGTTATCGTAGCGGGCATTGTAGGGCACGGCATGACCGTCGTTGCACCGCTTCGAAGAGCTTGTATCTTCATGTGGAGAACTATGAAAACACGGCTCACCGACACCGAACACTTGCATCGCCATCGTAAAGGTTGCGACAGCATTGGAACATTAATCGGCGACGAAGCCAAACATAACATTGAAACATTGAAGCTGTAAAGAAATAGCCTTCTCGCTTGCAAGGCCAATTCAGGGGAGGAGAGGGGAAAGGAGGATGCCCCTGACATCGGGCTGATAGTTTTGTCCAGTCCTGTGTTGCTCTATTCGATCTCGGCCTCCAGGGGCCGTTTTCGGGTCCTGGGGGGATCAGGCACAGATCTGAGAAGAAGGAACCCTCCCTGGACAATCCCGCAACAAAGACACATACACAGGCACCCTCCTCCTTGGTCTCAGGGGGTGATGGCGGTGTACAAATCACCTATGCGAGCCAGCGGCTTTATACACCGCCGCCCTCCCTGAAGGTACATGCACAATTCGTCTCAGGGTGTATGCGTACGTATCAGATAGGCATTACGGCCAGCGTCGCCGACCCTGAACGACAACGACGACAACGACGACGACGACGTGCATGTATCTTCGTGGCGCAGGATAGGACGGAGGCCTTCAGGGCCGGCAGGTTGAAAAGGTTACGGCGTTGGATGTCCTGGTATAGGCGGATGGAGCACAGGGAGGACGGGGAGCGAGGTGGTGTGATGAGGAAGGGGGAGATGATGTGCCTCGCCCCTTCATCCCCCTCCTCCGTGGTTACTCCGGCGCTTGAGGTCCCTGCGTACTTGGTAGTAGCGCGTCGGTAGAGCCTGGCTTGCTCAGGCGCGCCACCTCAGGTTCGCGAGGGAGCGCGCAAAGAATTCAAAGGATGGGGATGGTCTTATTCGGCATCGTGCCAGACGGGCACAGGCAGCGGGGATGGTTCAGGTGGGAGGGGGCATCGGAGGTGAGGGGGTGAGATCGCAGTGAAAAGGAGAGCCTCCCACACCTGGGAAGTCGGTTTCGGTTTCGTGTTCGTGTCGTGCGTGCGGGCGAGGCGAGGCTGCGTGGGTGGGCGAGAGGAATAAACCCTCATCTGGCTAGGCCGCCGGGCCAAAAGACCGCCCCTCCTCGTCACCCGAAGGATGGCCGTATAGGTAGGATGGATGTGTGCAGACGTGTTGGTCGTTGGAAGAGGAGCACGCTGTCGACGACGACGGTGGCGAAGACCCCCCGGCCTCTCAGTGTCCACGAGGGCGCAGACCTCAGCAAGTCACGTACATAAAATTGCTATATGCAACTACGACGCCGACGCCGACGCAGCTGGCGGCGACGACGCCGACGACGACGCAGGCCCATAAAGGTGCCAGGAGGGGACGCCTGAAGTCTGCGGAGGCTTCCGCAGGGCATTGGAGGCCTCGAACAAATCACAAAAGCGTTTCCTTCAGATCTTATTTTGCCAAACGTTAACAGCATCGCAACACATTTAGCCCGACGAAGGACCCAACGATATGCAGCTGCGAGTGCCGCATTGTGGGCACCGCTTTCGGTGGAGCTCCGTGTGGGGCCGTGAACTGTGTGAGGGGTGTGCCGAATTGGGTGCGGTGGTGCCATGCGAATCCTTCTTCTGAACCTTCCATGGAGCTCCCCATGGGACCACGAGCCGTCTGAGGGGTGTGCCGAATTGGGCGCGGTGGTGCCATGCCAAACCTCCCAGTGGAGCTTTCGGTGGAGTTCTTACGGGGCCACGAACCGTGTGAGGGGATGTTCCGAATCGGGTGCGGTGGTGCCATGCGAAGCCTCCCACTGGGGCTTTCGGTGGAGTTCCCTACTGGTGCCCGAACCGTGTGAGGGGAATGCCGACTTGGGCGCGTGGGTGCCATGCGAACCTTCACACTGGAGCTTTCGGTGGAGTTCCCTATGGGGCCACGCAGCGTGTGAGGGGTGTGCAGAATTGAGCGCGGTGGTGCCATGCGAACTTTCCCATTGAAGCCTTCGGTGCAGCTCCATATGAGGCCACGAACCGTGTGAGAGGTGTGCCGAACTCGGTGCGGCGCTGTCATGCGAGCCCTCCCGCTGGAACCTTCGGTGAAGCTCCCTATGGGGCCACGAACTGTGTGAGAGGTGTGCCGAACTGGGCGTGGTGGTGCCATGCGAACCCTCCAATTGGAGCCGTCTGTGGAACTCCCTGCTGTGAGGCCACGAACCGTGTAAGGAGATTGGCGACTTGGGTGCAGTGGTGTCGCGTGGACCCTTCCACTGACACCTTCGGTGGAGGTTCATATGAGGTCACGAACCGTGTGAGAGTTGTGCAGAAATGGGTGCGGTGGTGCCGCGCGAACCCTCCCGTTGGAGCTTTCGGTGGCGCTCCCTACGGGGCCACGAAACGTTTTTCATTGGAGTCTTCGGTGGAGCTCCCTATGGGGCCACGAGACGTGTGAAGGGTGTGCCGAACTGGATGCGGTGGTGCCATGCGAACCCTCCCAGTGGAGCCTTCGGTGGAACTCCCTATGGGGCAAGGCCAGGACCGTGTGAGGGGTGTGCCGAATTGGGTGCGGTGGTGCCATGCGAACTCTCCGACTGGAGCCTTCGGTGGAACTCTCGATGGGGCCCCGATGGGGCCACAAACCTTGTGAGGGGTGTGCCGAGGCGCGGTGTGCCATGCGAACCCTCCCACTGGAGCCTTCGGTGGAGTTCTCTATGGGGCCACGCACTTTGTGAAGGGTGTGCCGAACTGGGCGCGGTGGTGCCATGCGAACCCTCCCACTGGAGCTTTCGGTGGAGCTCCGTATGGGGCCACGAGTCGAGTGAGGGGTGTGCCGAATTGAGTGCGGTGCTGTCATGCGAACGCTCTTGCTGGAACCATCGGTGGAGCTTCATATGGGCCCGCGAACCGTGTGATGGGTGTGCAGGATTTGGGCGCGCTGGTGCCATGCGAGCCCTACCGCTGGAACCTTCGGTGGAGCTCCCTATGGGGCCACGGACCGTGTGAGGGGTGTGCAGAATTTGGGCGCGGTGGCGCCATGCAAACCCTCCCATTGGAGCCTTCGGTGGGGCTCCCTATGGGGCCGCGACACGTCCCCCATTGGAGCATTCGGTGGAGTTCCCTATGAGGCCACGAAGCGTTTCAAGGGTGTGCCGAATTGGGTGCGGTGGTGCCATGCAGACCCTCCCAGTGGAGCCTTCGGTGGAGCTCCCTATGGGGCAAGGCCACGATCGTGTGAGGGGTGTGCCGAATTGGGCGCGGTGGTGCCATGCGAACTCTCCGACTGGAGCTTTCGGTGGAGCTCCGTATGGGGCCACGAGCCGAGTGAGGGGTGTGCGGAATTGAGCGCGGTGGTGCCATGCGAACGTTCACACTGGAGCCTTCGGTGGAGCTCCTGTTTGGGCCACGAACCGTGTGAGGGGTGTGCAGAGTTGGGCGCGGTGGTGCCATGCGAACCCTCCCACAGGAGCCTTCGGTGGGGTGCCCTATGGGGCCATGAACCGTGTGAGGGGTGTGCCGATCTGTGCGCGGTTGTGCCATGCAAACCCTCCCACTGGAGCCTTTGGTTAGGTTCCCTATGGGGCCACGAACCGTGTGAGGGGTGTACCGACCTTGGTGCGGCGGTGCCATGCGAGCCCTCCAATTGGAGCCTTCGGTGAAGCTTCCTATGGGGCCACGAACCGTGTGAGGGGTGTGCAGAGTTGGGCGCGGTGGTGCCATGCGAGCCCTCCCACTGGAGCGTTCGATGGAGCTCCCTATGGGGCAGCAAAACGTTTGAGGGGTGTGCCAAAATTCTGGAATGGCGGAGAGGAGAGGCAAGGAGGGAGGAGGGATGAGGGGGAGGAGGAGGAGCGGAGGTGGGACGCGGGGCGCTGTCTTTGCAAGACGAGGACCAACACCACAGGATGTGTGGGAAGAACATTGCCCCGGACCCTATCTTTTTGCACAATGTTTCGAACTTGATCGATATGTGAGAGTCCCTGGGCCCAGAGCAAGGCGAAGACGCCCGTTGTGAGCAAATTGCAAGGCCAGGACCTCAGGGCTCAGCAGCTTCGACGACATCCGATCATTTCCAGCCGGCGACAACGGCCACGGCGACGTCGGTTGGGGTGGCGGGCGGCAAACGTGGGCAAGATTTATATCCATATCGATTGCGTCTTGGGTTCTGGACTGAGGCGCCAAAAGGCGGAGGCGCAGTGGCTTCTAGGGGCCAGACATTTATCCATATCCACTGCGTCTCTGGTTACTGAGGAATGGAGCCCGAGACTCTCAGATGAGCAACAAAAATCAAAGATGCAGTGGATATGGCTAGGTGTGCACCTTGCCCGCAGCCACGGCGACGGCGACGGCGGTGGCCGCGGGCGGCAAATAACAAAACAAGCACGGCCAGAGAGGCGGCCGGCGCTGGCGACGACAGCATCGTGCTCGC